AAACCGCACCTTCCGCCCGGCTCCCTGTCCCGTTACCTCCCTTAAGCCAGGGTCTTATCAGCTCGGGCTGCCATGACCCCGCTGTGGGGGCAGCTCACGGCAGGCTCCTTCCCACAGTTCCGGAGAGGAGGAGTGTGACATCCGCCCGGCTGAGAGATGCAGGGCCTCCTCCCTTGCTCCTGGCCGGCGTGTGACCCTACCCTGGCGTGGCCTCCTGGGGTGTGGGTGTGGGGGCATAAACACTCGACCACACCAGCTGGTCCTGCCGGAAGTCTGGATGGCTTCTCAAGAAATCCAGAGCATTTCCTTCTCAGTAGAAATGACGGTCAGTCGGCAGGAGGAGAATCCCGGCCAACAGAGCCACCCCGTCCTGCCCCTTTAGGACCCTGGTTGACAGAGACAGGGAGGCAGGGTCCTAGGCCCAAGTCTGTCTTTGGAGCAGATACCTCCCTCTGTCCGGGACTCGTCGTCCACCTGTGGTACCATGTGCTCCCAAGGGCTTCCTCAGAGCCCGGGTCCTGCCCACGCCTGTGCTCCCATCACCTCAGGAGGCTGGGGCAGGAGGATCGTAAGTTCGAGGCCAGCTTCAGCAACTCAGGGAGGCCCTAAGCAACTTAGTGAGATCCTGTCTCAGGATGAAAAGGGCAAGGGGCTGGGATGCGGCTCTGTGGCCAGGCATCTCTGGGTTCAATCCCTGCTACCAAAAAGCAAAGAAGGACTTCGGTCCTGAGGCTGCGGGTCCCGAGTATGGTTTTCAGCACCAAAAAAGAAAAAGAATTCTCGGGTCTCCAGGCCCCTCCCTGCTACTCCCTGTGATAGCAAGTTCCTGTGGTGACTGAGTGATCGCCCTACGGCTGGGTCCTCTGAGGTCCCCCAGACGGGAGCCAGGAGAGCCCTTGCAGACCTGCTCCTGCCGGCCCTGGTCACACCTGCCCAGGGCTCCCTCCTGACCCTCGGTCTTCTCTTCCCACAGCGCGGCCCCGGCCGGGGCCCAGACTTTCAGCCTGAAGCACTCGGAGGACGTGCGGGTAGAGGTCGTCCGCGACGGGGAGGCTGAGGAGGTGGCCACCAACGGCAAGCAGCGCTGGGCCCTGTCGCCCAGCACCACGCTGCGGCTCACCATGAGCAAGGCCAGCACCGAGGCCAGCGCCGACAAGGTACGCGCGGGACGGGGGGCGTGTGCCGCGAGCAGGCCGGACAAGCCTGTCCCAGAGACACAGAACGCAGCCACACGTGTCCTTGTCAGCCCCCAGAAGGCCACATCCAAAAGGCAAGAAAAGAAATCCACGTTGAGAGTAGATTTTGCCGGAGCCCACCTGTCAAAATGCCATTTTGAAGCCGGGCGCCGGCGCACGTCTGTCATCCCGGCAGCTCTGGAGGCTGAGGCAGGAGGATCTCGAGTTCAAAGCCAGCCTCCGCAACTCCGCGAGACCCTGTCTCTAAATAAAAAAAGGGCTGGGGATTGGCCCAGTGGCTAAGCACCCTGAGTTCAACCCCCAGTACCAAAAAAAACCACAAAAATCTTGACAAGTCATGAATATTAAGAAATCAACAAGACGTTTTATATCCTTTTCCTGTAACAAACCTACGCCCACCTGAGTCCACACTAGTCACGCTTCAAGCGCTTGGCAGCCGCGTGGCTGGGGGCCATTGCATTGGGCAGCACCTGCTAGGTCCTGGAAGGACGGTGTCACGGGGGTACAGCGCGGGCTGCTGGGTGACGGGCCATTCCAATGCTCAGCACCACAGAGCCCTGGATCTCACTGTGTCTACAGTGGGGTGCTGAGCAGTCAGGGAGCCGGCTCAGGTCCCCTCGTTGCCAGCTCTACCCTGGGCCATGCTGGCCCTGGGCATCTGCCCAAGAAAACCCTCTCAGGCTGCCCTCCCACCACCACCCGGGAGCTTAGAGGGAGCTGGAGGCACCATGTGGCAGATGTGGGGACCCCACAGGTAGTGGGGCACACAGGCGGGCAGGTGGCATCCTGGCTGCACTCGGAGGGGAGTCCCTGGTCTGGTGCCATCACCTGGGAGAGGCACTGGACAACCCAGGAGTGCTTCCTGGAGGAGGCTGGGGGGAGGACTTGCCAGATGAGGCCGAGGTGGGGCTCTCTTGGGATTTCCTGCTTGTGACCTATGGTCTCTGCCCTCCTCTCTACCCCGTGTGCCCCACCCCAGGTCACCGTCAACTACTATGACGAGGAGGGGACCGCCCCCATCGACCAGGCTGGGCTCTTCCTCACGGCCATCGGTAAGTCAGCGAGGCTGGGGTCTCGGGGCTGCTGTCCCCAGGGCTGCCCCCACCCGCTCCTCGGCTCTGCGCTCTCACCAGACCCCGTAGCTGCAGGCGTGGGGAAGGCACCTCGCTGCCGCCTGCCGTCCTGATGCCAGGCCGCCTGCGGGAGACGGGTCCCCTGTCTGGGCTCTGTGGGCCACACAGGAGAAAGGAAAGCCCTTCCTTCCCTCAGCTCTTTTACAGCCTGAAAAAGAGCTTCCCACTGTCCTTGTCCTCCTCAAGCCCAGTCCTGGGGGCCCAGAGATATGGCCTTGGGTCCTCGGCTCACCTGATCCAAGTCCTTCATTTGATCCACGGGATGGTGAGGCCCAGAGAGGTTAGAAAACTCATTCAGAGTCACACAGCAACCAGGTGGCAGGTGGATTCTCTCCACTGCACTACCCTGCCCTCCCTCCCGGGGTGCCAGGACGCTCCCTCCCAGGCAGGTGGAGCCTGCTCTGCAGGCCCAGGGAGGTGACCTTTGGAACCTGCTGTGATGGAGGTGTTACCCTGAGGCCCTCCCAGAGGTCACTTTGTCCGTGTGGTTGAACATGGACAGAGCTGCCACATGGCAGGGGAAGGGAACTCAGACACCGAGCGCCAGCGGTGTGCTGGGTGCTTTTTAAAAATAACAATAACGGCTCCCTCCTCCCGCTCAGCCGCGCTGCACCCAGGCTGTGTGGGCGCCTCGACAGCGAGTCGGGCTGCAGCGCTAGACCCTCCACCTCCACGAGAGCAGTCTATTCCCTTCCTCTCCTGTCTCCCTTTTTGCGGTTCTGGGGATCCAATCCAAAATCTTGTGCACGTTGGCGCTCGCTGGTCCCCAGCGGCGCCCCCCCCCCCATCTAGCCTCAGGGTGATTCCAGGGACAGACCTAGTCTTGTCCTGTTTTGCAGATGAAAGAATCAAGGCTGTAAAAACCAACCAAAGGTTGCCTGGGGCCACACACCTGAAAGTGGCTGATGTGACCAAGTCACTTGCGTTAGGTCACATCCTCCTCCTGGGGGTTTTGGAAGCTCCCCCCCCCCCAGCCCCGCCAGCCTCCTCTGTGCCCTCAGCCACCGGAACAGGCTCCGCGGCTGCACTTTCCCATTCCTCAGCCGACCCCCAGTGGGCCTGGTGGGTGGTCAGTCTGTCCCTCTTTCTGCATCCAAGGGTGGCCAGCCCGGGCCTGGGACTTTGATGGGGATGACCTCAGGGGGCCCTGGGAGATGAAACCAGAGCCGCCCTGGTGTGCTGGGCCCTGGCACGTGAGCGCACCCCACATACACAGTCTCGGATGACTGTCCTCGGAAACCGAATCCCAGGGGCAGGGACACCTGAGGACAGAGACCTGTCCCATGAAGGTGATCCCTGGGGCTGCCCGTGCCGTCCAGACGTCCACCCGCGCAGGCGGACTGAAGACAGACGGAAACCAGGAGGAGGACGGGCTCTTCTCCTTCATCAGAAGACAGAAGCTCAGAGGGAGCCCACGGCCGCCCGTGGTCAAGGGTCTGAGCTTCTGCGTCCCCTGGACACTTGTGCATTTAACTGCCGGGACTTCCAGATCCCGAGGTTCCACGGGCCAGAAAGATGCCCCCTCTGGGCCCCTAAGGAACATGAGAAGCTTGGCAATGTTGACGGATGACCAAAAAGAAGACATTGGTATAACAGCTTGCCTTCAGCTCTCACGGTCATGGCACCATGAAAAGTGACAGGGCCTCTCAAGAAAAGGCCAGGCCATTTACAGAGTCCAAAATCAAGCTAGAGGAGAGGTTGCCCCGCTGACCTTGTGCTTCCTGATGCCCGGGGACCCTGAAGGAAAGGAGACTGGCTTCCCCTGGGAGCTCTGATCTCTGCGTCCCCCACCCCAGGCCTCCTCTTCCTCCGGCATCTACCCCAGGGGCCCTTGAGCCCCCATCCCGAGCCATCAATAGGGCCAGTGCCGGGGAGGCAGGAACACCCGAGACCACACTGAGACCTCAGGCCACCACCATCCCGAGCCTCAGTTTCCTCATCTGCAAGATGGGACGCACTGGGCATTGTTGAGCGGGGCTTCCAAGGATTCACGGAGTGGCCCGTGCAAGGGGACCGTGCCAGGGCCAAGGGCGCAGAGCAGGTGCTCAGCGGATGCCCTCTGAGCCTCCCTTCCTCAGGGTGGCCACAGGACTCTGCCTGGAGGACGAAGAAACTTACTGTCCTGAGTCTCCTCCCTGGGAATTGGGAACAGATAGACGGTGCCCTTGGCCAAATCAGGCCCTAATTTAGTCCAGTCCTGCAAGAACTCTGTGTGACCGGGATGAGCAGCGCACTTCTAGGCCTCCCTTTCTCCAAGCTACAGAGTGGAAATTAGCCTGAGGACCTCCAGGACTCTGGTTGGAGCTGATTGCAGAGCCTTCCCCTGAGGGCGAAGCGGAGGGGACACCCTGAGGAGGGGGCCCCTGCCAGGCCCTGGCGGTGAGAGCAGCGCACAGAATGGACCTTGGGAACCTGTAGCCACCAGCGCCCACGTTGGCTGTGCCGGAGGGAGTCCTCGCTCCCCGCCGCATCCCAGGCTGCTCAAGCCCCGGAGGCCAGCAGGAGGCCAGCACCCAGCCACTGTCCATGGGGCTGGCAGCCGGCCAGCGTCTTGATCCTCAGGGCAGACGGCCTTGAACCCAATCCTAGTGACATTTCCCGTTAATCTGCCCCACACCCAGGCGCCACCCGACCCCTGGGAGCTATTCAGAGGAGCTGAGGTAGGAGCCCGAGCCTCTGGGAAATGTCTGGAGCCCGGAGTCCCTGAGACAGGTGTCCTCCCCTCCTCCCCCGGCGGGCAGCGCTCTGGGCAGGTCCTGCCAGCCCCGATCACTGTCCCCGCAGGCCCCGGCCCCCTGACACTGGGCGACATCAGACACCGAGGAGCCTGGCAGGGGGCAGACCCAGGGGATGGCTTGCAACCTGGGGGACCTCGGAGGGAGGGTGAAGGGCAGAGAGGCCACTGCAGCTGGCTGTAGGGACAGGCCACAGGTCCCAAAGAGAATCAGGAAGCACCGTGGAGGTGGGAGGAGGTGATAAGGGGCCAGTGATGAAATGCCCGAATTTCACAACAGGAAGGCTGCAAAGCCTGCCCCAATTTAATAAAGCAGGAAATAGAAAGAAGTGCTGTTTTATTTTTGTACCAGGAAGATGAAAAGAGGGGCTGGGTAAGAAACCACTCAGTGCTGTTTTGTTTGATTTTTTTTTTTTTTTTTTTTTGCATATGGTACAAATATCACATTGAAAATTTTTGGTTTCTTTGCTTGTGTTTTTGTTTTGTTTCTTGGTGCTGGAGACCGGATCCACGGTGCTTTACCACTGAGCCACGTCCTCGGCTCTTTTTTGTTTGTTTGCTGTGAGGCAGGGTCTCACTAAGTCCCTGAGGGTCTCACTAAGTCGCTGAGGCTGTCCTCAGACTTGCAATCCTCCTGCCTCAGCCTCCCGGGTGGCTAGGATTACAGGTGTGTGTCGCTGTGCCTGGCTAAATTGATAGAATTTCAGAAGTTGAGAAATTCATACTGCAACAAAGCAACGCAGAGCGCTTCCTAATCGCTCTCTAAGAACCGCTGCTTCAGTGGACAAAGAGCTTCCGTGCAGCTTAGAGACAGAGGCCCCAGGGCTGCAGGGGTGGCCCAACGCCTCTTTCTCTGATCTCCACCTTCAAGGGAGCAAGCATTGCGTCTCTGAAGGTGGCCTTAGCTTTAGGAAACAGCCCAGGTAGGAGGTCAGCCAGAGGTCAGCCCTAGATCCTTGGAGACAACAGAAGAGACCCGGAGCCGGAGCCTGCACTCCAGGAGCTTCAGGGGTCGCTTCCCTGCTGGGTGCCTTGGTGAAAGCCTGGGTGCCCTGTGTGGACGCCGAGTGGTGGCAGGTCCCAGGGTCTCTGAGGAGAGCAGCCGTGGAAAGCGGTGTGCAGTGGGCGCGGGCGGGAAAGGAGCTGGCCTCCTGCTCCTGCTCCTGACCTCAGCCTCGGGAGCACGGGGGCCCCCCTTCTCCCCGGGCCCTTGCTGGCCCCCCTCCAGGATCTCCGGGCCAGCTCCCTGGCGGGCGGTTCCTGGAGCCCTGGCTTGCTCTCCCCCAAAAGGGCCCAGTGACAGCTCCCTCCAGGACTGGAGGCTCCTTCACAGCGGGTCTGGGCACGGTCACCAGGGCCTAGCCAGGTGCCGGAGCCGCGGCCCGGGCTCCACAGTGGCAGGAGTGGAGAAGTGGGCCTCCAGCCTCCCAGGAGGCCTGGGAGCAGGACACTATAGGGTACCACTTCCAGGGACCTCCCTGCCCCCTCCTTCTTGCCTCTGTCCACCCCAGGACGGCCACGTTGAGGGGCAGGAGGCTGGGCAGAGGGAGGACTTGGGTGTGGACCCGGTGGGGCTGGACCGCCTCACCCCCCACCCCACCCAGGGAGAGGGCTTGGCTGTCGTGGGGACTGACCGGGAACACATTCGTCCCACCCAGCCCCCACCTCAGTCCAAGTCTTGCAGGGTGTGCGCGGTCCCCCTGGGCAGCTCTGGGGCCTGAAACCAGCGTGTCTCACTCTGGGTGACACTCTTGATGCCACCCCAGCAGCACCTATCAGTCTCTTAACTCCGAAGAATTAATTATCTGGCTCAAAGGTCAGTAGTGCCTATCATTGCAATTAGTGCAACGGCTAATTTTTACAAGAAAGGACTCCATTTTAAAACTGAGAAAATTGGAGCTCAGAGAGATTGTCTAATCTGCCCATAGTCACACAGCTCCTAAGCAGAGAACCAGGGTCCAAACCAACACTGTCTAATGCTAAACCTCTCCACTGCCCCACAGTCTCCACAAAGCCTGTCTCCGTGGTGGGCCCGGGAATGATAAAAGTCCCTTCCCTGAAAGAAGGATAAGCAGGGACCCTGGCTGGTCATCTAGCAGGAGCCCCGATCACAGGCACCCTCAGATCAAGAGGGCTGAAGACATGGTTTCTCAGCCAGAGGAAAACCCTCGGTCCTTGTTGGTGGAATCTAGACTTCTGGGGTTCTTGGAGAGGAGGACATGTGCACGCACAGACACACGTGTGCACACACACACGCCCAGATGGACTGGGAGAGACAGGGAACCCTGAGCTGGTACATTTTCAAATTATAACCAAGTCAGACGGGTGCAGTGCGGACCTCAGCTCTGCTCCCACCTCCCGTGTGCCCCTGGGACTGCACCCTTCTGAACGGAGGCTCCAAATCTGTCCAGTGAGGACTGATCCCCAGCCCCCAAGAGGAAGGAGGGGGATCCCTGGCCTGTCCGGCAGCACCCCCAAGGCTGTGAGCTGCTGGTCCACATGGCGTCTGCAGAGGTGCCCAGGGGTGTGGACATTAGCCAGGGGCTCAGAGAAGATGAGCTCGCAGGGCCCCCATCCCCAGCCACCGAGTGCCTGGGTGAGTGGCCCCAGGTCCCCCAGGTCCCCCATGTCCGTGCCACCCTGTCTGGCAGGCTCAGCAGCTCACCCATGTTTCTCCTCCCCAGAGATCTCCCTGGATGTGGACGCCGACCGGGACGGCGAGGTGGAGAAGAACAACCCAAAGAAGGTACCTAGGCATCAGGGCAGACGCCCCGAACTCGGGCAGCTCAAGGGCAGGGCCCCGAGTAGACCCTGTAGGCAGCCAGAGACTCCCACGCGCAGGACGCCCCCTCGCAGACCAGCGTCGTAACAACCGCCCTAAGCCCCCCAGAAGGCTGTGTGCGGGGCCATGGAAGGGGCTCTGGTCTGGGCAGCAGCCAGGCTTCCTGGGAGAAGGGCCAGCTGTGCTGAGGCTGGAAGGGCGAAGAGATTTGACCAGCAAAAAGGAGGACATCGGTCCAGCCAGAGGACCAGCGGGGGCAGAGGCCCGGGGGCGTGGCATCTGGGAGCGGAAGGGCGGCCAGTGCGGGTGGAACAGAGTGAGCCGGGTGAGGTGAGACGAGGCAGAGGTGATGGCGTGGAGAGGCGGGCAGGTCTCCTGGGCCTCGCAGCCACCGTGAGGAGCCAGGCTTAGCCGTGTGTCAGCAGGGCGGGCTTAGGGGAGGAGAGTGACGGGATTGGGTTCCATTTTCTTGTAGTCCCCTGGCTGCAGTGTAGAAAAGGAAGCCGCAGAAGCCAGTGTGGTGCCCACGCCCGTAACCCCAGTGACTTGGGAGGCTGAGGCAGGAGGATGGCCAGGCCCAGGCAGCCTGGGCAACTTAGGGAGAACTTGTCTCAAATGATATAAAAAGGGCTGGGGACGTAGGCCAGTGGCAGCGTCCCCTGGTTCAGTCCCGAGTGCAGGAAAAGGAAAAGCCCCACGCAGGCCCCATCCGGACTCCCGGCCTCGGGACCCCGAGTCCCGGCTCAGACCGTCTGCCCAGGGCTCTGGCCGCCCTCCTCCTCCCAGCTCCACGCTGCCAGGCATGGCCGCCCGACACCAGAGCCTTCCTGTCCGTGTGTCCTGGATGTCCACATGGGTCCCCTCTGGGCATCGGACTTGGAAGTCACATTTGCCAATGGTAGCTCGCACACGCACGCACACACACGAACACACACACACGCGCACACAGGCACGCAGTCACACCCGTAGATGGTGGCTGCTCGTTAGCCACATCCCGAGTGCTCTCAGGTGGCCCTCAGGGTCTGCCCTGGGGTAGAGAAGAGGACGCTCACCCGTCCTCCTGCGCTTCCAGGCGACCTGGACCTGGGGTCCTGAGGGCCAGGGGGCCATCCTGCTGGTGAACTGTGACCGAGACACGCCCTGGCTGCCCAAGGAGGACCTCAGTGACAACAAGGTCTACAGCAAGGAAGGTACCAGCGGGGCCCCGGGGGCCAGGAGGGGCAGGGGGCACCCACGCCATCCTGGGCTGAGCGGAGGGTCGGGCAGGTTGGACCTGGGCTTCCTGGGGACGAAGGACCCCAACGTCCACCTGTGCTCAACTGCAGTGCACCTGGAGCCACGTTTTCTAAAGTCACACACGGGGAGACCAAGGAGGCCACCTGGGGTGCCGGAGGGGACGGCCAGTGTCGTCCTCTCCCTTTGGTCTTCCGGGGTTCCCGGGACACGGGCACTGAGAGGCCAGCACCCAGGCCCATCACGCTGACCCCTGTGCCTCTGCCCCTCAGACCTCAAGGACATGTCCCCGATGGTCCTGAGGACCAAGGGCCCCGACCGCCTGCCGGCTGGATACGAGATGGTCCTCTACATCGCCATGGGGGACTCGGACAAAGTGGGCGTGTTCTACGTGGAGAGTGAGTGACCCCCGGCTACCCCCTGAGGCCAGCACCCTCCTCCCTCCGCCCCCGCACAGCCTGGCCTCAGGACTCAGGAGGCTCCCTGTCCTCCCCCCGGAGGCTGCGGTGGCCTGGGTCTGTGTCCTTTCTGGAGCCCAGGAGACAGGGATTTCAGAGTCTCTCTCCTCTGGAGTCATGTCGCCCTCGAGGTACCTGGGCCAAGGCGGTGGCCTCTCCACTTTGTTGCTGTTACTGGTTGTTGAACCCAGGGGCGCTGAACCCCTGAGCCGCGTGCCCAACCCTTTTTACTTTTTATTTTGAGACGGGGCCTCCACAAGTTGCCGAGGCTGGCCTTGAACGTAGAGTCCTCCTGCCTCGGGCCTCTCGAGTCACTGGGGTCACAGGTGTGCACCACTTGCCCAGCCACCTCTAAATCGTAAAGCCCCTCCCCGCAGAGATGCTGTGACCCCTTGTTCCTCTCCATGGTGACAGTGTGTCCTGGGCCTCTGCTGTGCAGGGGACATGCTCTGCCCCAGAGCCAGTCCGCGGAGCTGCCTGCACTGGCCTCACGTTCTGTGACCATGTGTCGAGTCACCTTGGTGCCAGCACCTTCCTCAGAGCCGGGATCCCTGCAGTAAACACAGGAGTCACACCCTGCCCTTGCAAAGCGGCCACCTAGCCAGGGGGACGTAATAAATAGCAGCTTGGAGGAGACGGAGTAGAGGGAGTCACAGAGCGGGACAGGCCCGAGGCCCTGCGGGCTGGGTGGTCTGGGGAGGCCGCCAGGGAGGTGGCGTCTGAGCTGAGGCTCTGGGGAGCCGAGGGGACGGCACCTGAGGGAGGGGAGGGGACGGCACCTGAGAGAGGGGAGGGGGTGTGCCGAGCACGGAGGAGGGTGCTGTTCTGAGCCTTGGAGGGGCAGGAATCCAGAGCCGGGGATGTGTGGGGGACCAAGGTCAGCGAGCCGGGCCGGGGGCCAGGGCACGCGGACAGGTCTGGATTTATTCTAAAGGCGGTGGAGCCATCAGAGGGTTTAAGCAAGGGCCAGTCAGGATCTGGTTTACGTGTTCAGACCTCCCCAGCAAAACAGCCTTGCAGTTCACCATGCTCGGGGGCTCTCTGGGGGCTGGGCCCACTCTAGGACGGGAACATCAGAAAGGCAGTCACCCTGCGGGAGGCTCACCTCAGACTTAACCAGGGTGCCAGTGGACACCAGCCACCCCATGCCAGCCCCCGACGGTGCCACCCTGCGCCCTGCGCAGTGACCTCCAGCAGGTCGGAATGTCCCTGGAGTCGACTGGCTCCACTGCCCCAGGGGGCCGAGATGTTTACCCTGCCGCCCAGGCCAGCGTTGCCACAGCAGGAGGGGTGCAGGCAGAAGGGAGCCTTGGCCTCGACAGAGACCTGCGGCTGATGGCGAAGCCTTGGCAAGGACGAGAGTCTGCCCCTGCTGGGGGCAGTGGGCTGGACTCAAGTCTGGCTCCACATTTACCTCCCTCCCCCTGGCGGGCCATCCGAGATGGGTCCCGAGCAGGCAAGGAAAGAGAAGCCACCTCTGTAAGTCCTCGGAGAATATTCCCCGAGAGTGTTACCTGGGCTGCCTGTCCGCAGGGAGGACCCTTAACTAGACAGTGGCCGCCACCCAGTGAGATTCCCATAAAGGTGGCCTCTGGGTGGATACCCTGAGCCCCACCCAGGCAGAGAGGAAGAGAAATAACTCACCCAGGGCCCAGTTTCCCTGTCTTCCCCGTGCGCATCTTGGCTTTGTCAAAACCTGAAGACAAGCCTGGTGCAGCGGTGCCCACCTGTGACCCCTGCCATGGAGAGGCCGAGGCGGGAGAATAGCAAGTTCAAGAGCAGCGTGGGGATTCAGCAAGCCCTATCCCAAAACGAAGAATAAAAAAGGCTGGAGGTCTAGCCCCGTGGGAAGCACCCCCGGCTCAAATCCCAGGACTGCAAGAGAAAAAAACTACAAATATGAATGGACCTGTGGTTGAGAATGTCACACAGATGTCATGTGGTCACCTGTGTCCCAGCAGGGTTGGTCTCATTCTCCTGAAAAGCAGGGAGCTGGGCTCCAGGGGTCCTGGGAGGGAGCTCTGGTGCCAGGGAGGTCTGCCAGCCACAGCCCTGGGGTCCTGCTCTGCATGGGAGCCCCCACTGCTCCAAATGGCAGGGGGATGGAGTGGGGGACGGGCCAGACCCTCTAGGAAGTGGCTGTGGAGAGCTCTCCGTAGACAGCAGCTGTGCTTTGTTGGAAATATTGTGATTATTCTTATCTATAATGATTGGGGTGAGCTGAAGCCTCCAGTGCTCCTAGAAAAACCCAGTGACTCGGGTTCTGCCCAGAACCCCAAGAACTGGGGGTGTCACCTCTTCCTACAAGGACTTGGTGACCAATTTGTCCCCATGTGCCTAGGACTTTCCTGGTTTTAGCATTGAACCCCATGGGCCCAGGCAAAACAAGACAGTTGGTCACACTCTCAGGAGTCACCCGGGGAGGTGGAATCATTCCAAAGTGACGGGCAGGGTCACACCAAACCACACCACGCGCTGGCCAGTGGGGGCCAAAGCCTGGGACTGAGGAGAGGTCAGTGTGGCCAGCGGTGCCAGCACAAAGCACGAGGGCTACTCAGATGAAAGGCGTTGTTGGTGCCTGCGGGGACAGCCAGCCACGCCAGGGTGGAAGGAACGGGGGACAGCCGCTCCTGGGGACAATGGCTGGGTTGTTCCCAACAAGGAATCCACCCTCCTGGCACTGGCTCAGACCCCAGAACAAGGCCCAGGATAGAGACACATTGTGAGTCCCGGGGCACAGGCCACGTGGGGAGGAGGGAGCTGCCAGAGGAGGGCCAGAGTGTGCCCTCCCTGCTGACCCCTCCCCTGGCCAGATCCCTCTCCGTCCAAGACCCTGGTGGAGCCCTGGGACACTTGGCACCTGGGACTCCTGCAAACAAGGAGTTGGCTTCCCGGGCTGAGTCTCCTGAGCCTCAGCTCAAGTGCAGCCTGGGGCACATGGGCTGGAGGGGGGGGGCACTGTGTACAGACCCATGTGGACCCACTGGGGAGGGGGCCACAGGGGCTCTGGGTCAGATGGACCTGTCCTTCTGTGTTGAGCTGTGACGAGGTCCTTGGGACGCCCAGGTCTGTCCACCCCCTTTCTTCTTGGACCTATCCCAGGACCTGAGGCCAGATGCTGCTTCTGTGGTCAGGGCGGGCTGACCTCCCACTGCCTCTCCCGGGCAGCACCCATAGGTCCCTGCGTGGTACCCGCGGTTACCTGGTGACCGAGGTTACTCGGGTGGCTGTACCATTTGCAATGACCCTGTGGCCTGGGTGCTGTTGTCCTCTGCTTAACAGATGCGGCTCGGAGGGGTCAGGAGAATTCCCAGAGGTTTCCCAACCTATAAAGCCAGAGTGCCTCCACACCAGGGCCTTTCTGGCTTGGGAAGTCGTGACCACTGGGGTAGCCCCCCTTTTAGTGACCTACGATCCAGGTCTGGTTGGACACTGTCCCACAGAGGAGCCACCCAAGCCTGGGCTTCGCAGTTGGTCCCCGCGTTTCACAGGTGTCGATCCTGACATATTTGTAGCAGGAGGGTTTGGCTACTGTTCTCACCCCTGCGTCCTAACCCCTGGCGACGGGTCATTAAGCATCATCTGCTGAGCTGAGCCTGATCCGCCCTTGCAGCCTGCAGGGCTACAGAGCCTCCTTCTGGTTCTGCCGTAGGATCCCGCATCCTTGGCTTTACCCAGCAAGTATCTCCCCGACACACCTTCAGCCAACCCTGCCTCCTGCAAGGGTGTCCCCAACACTGCCTTCCTCCGTTCAGATGCCTCCCACCCGGTCCCCTCCCTCCCTCCCACCCACTTCAGCGCAAGTCACCAGACAAGACCTCTCACCACGTAGCTGCCGTTATGACCGTCCCTCGCATCCCTTGGGCGCTCTATCTGAGCACCAGCTGAGCACTGCTCCTAGGCACAGATGCCGCGTGGTGACAGTCCGTCTCCCCAGAGGTCCTTGGCCATGCCAGTCACAGAGTAGTAATGCAATTCCCCAGGACTGGGACTGTGGCTCGGTGGCGGAGCGCCTGCCTAGCACACGCGAGGCCCTGGTTGCATCCCCAGCACTTGGAGGGAAAAAATAGATATCAATTGCTGGGCCTGAGTCAGCCTGAAAATTCCCCGTTGGCCTCCCCTGTAGGGACAGTCGGGAGGAAGCCACTGGTTCATTCATGAGCATTTATGAAGCGTGATCAGGTGCCAGGTGGGAGCGGGGCCGGGCAGGCCTGTCTCTGGCCCACACGACCACGTACATCTAGAAAGGATGTGACAGGAAGGGGCAGCGGCTGCGGAAGCTCTGAACAGATCCCCAGGGTGCGCTCTGGGGGACCTGGGCGGGATTCCCACAAAGGCACCAACCCAGACCTGCAGGAAGGAGGGGCGAGACCGTTCCAAGGGACACCACGGGACAGTGATGGGCTGGAGACCTCCGAGGGGCAGGAGCCCTGGCGCAGCCTGCGTCCCTCCTGGTCCCGAGAATCGATGGCCAGAGACACAGCGTCTGTCTGTGGTCACACCAGCATGGCTTTTGTGAGAGAGGGGACCTGTGCGTACAGACGGGTGTGCACTGGTGTTTTACAAAGGGGTTGGGAGCTTGGTGTTCAGGATCAGGCAAGAATCAGGCAAGAATCAGGGTCCAGATCAGTCACCCTGTAGATGACCTTGGACAAGCCACGTCTTCTGAGACTCAGCTGCCTCGTCTGTGAAATGGGATAATGGCGCCTCCCCCCGCCCCCCTCACTTCAAACGCACCATTCAGGAGGGGGCCACTGCTTTCACAGACGAGCTGGGACACGTAGTGCTGAGACAATGACCGACACCGCGTAGTCGGCTGGTGGCATCTGCTGCCGTGCTTTCCTCTGTGTCTTGAGGACCAGCCACTTGTCCCCATCAGTGATCTCGCCTACCTCCTGCTGATGAGCCAGGGCCTGATGCCGCTCCTTCCCCCTCCAGACCCGTTCTTCGGCCAGCGCTACGTCCACATCCTGGGCCGGCAGAAGCTCTACCACGTGGTCAAGTACACGGGCGGCTCCGCGGAGCTGCTCTTCTTCGTGGAAGGCCTCCGCTTCCCGGACGAGAGCTTCTCGGGCCTGGTCTCCATCCACGTCAGCCTGCTGGAGTACATGGCTGAGGTGAGGGCCCAGGCCCCCCACCAGGGGGCCACCCCCGGCGCCCAGCCACATTCCTCTGGCCCAGGCCGCCACGGCCACACGTCTGCAGGGTCCTCTGCATGCTCTGGGGTCCTCTTCCTTGGTGCAAACCCAGGAGTCCTCAAAGGTGATGTTCCTGACCCTCCCCAGCCTGTGCCCTGGCCACCCTCCTCCCTACAGTAGTGTGGCCTGGTCCTGAGGCACAGTCCCAGTGGTCAGCCAAGGCCTAACCAGGCCACCCCTGTGAGCTCTGCCAGCCTCCGACTGTGTGCCCTGTTGTGCCCCAGTCGCCCCCTCACCCCAGCGGTGGGTCACACCAGCTCTGACCACAGGCTGAACCTCAAGTCCCGGCCTCAGTGGGGCCCTGTCCTGTGGTCAGCATCTCAGATATTTGCTTTGGCTTTGCGGAGGTTGGAAGAATAGGTGTGCTCCTGTCCCCTAGAGAAGCCCCTCGCTGAAGGCACAGCCTGAGGACCTGACAGCCTCTCAGCACAAGGACCTTGCATCCCCAGACTCCAGCCCTCAGTCCCACCCCATCTCACTCAGGAAAGGGCAGGGACTGGCCGCTCTGGCGGGCACAGGAGCCCGTCCCCATTTTTACCCCTGCGTCCTACGGAGGCAGAATAAATGGGATCTGCAGACAGTGGAGGCTGGTCCTAGCTGGGATGTCTGAGAACAGACCCTGGAATCTGACTGACCAGGTTTCAATCCTGGCTCAGCCACCCCGAGACACTGGGCGGATGAACTAACCCCCTGTTCCTTAGTGTCCCCGTCTGAAAAGTGAGAATTTTTTTTTAAGAGAGAGTCAGAGACAGAGAGACATTTTTTTTTAATATTTATTTTTTAGTTTTCGGTGGATACAACATCTTTATTTTATTTTTATGTAGTGCTGAGGATCGAACCCAGTGCCCCACACATGCCAGGGTAGCGCGCTACCGCTTAAGCCACATCCCCAGCCCCTGAAAAGTGAGAATTTTAGTAGCATTGACCCCCTGTAACTCTTGTAAAGCAGAGCCTGGCATACAGTAAGTGCTCAATAAATGTACTATTGCCATCAGTTTGGAAGGCAGGGGTGGGAAGCACCCGGTTACATGCTGCTTCTTTTGCGGTGTTGGAGACGCAGCCCAGGGCCTCGGCCATGCCAGCAAGCGCTCTCCCACTGAGCCATTTCCCGGACTCCTAATGAGACCTCTCTCCCCACCCAGGGGATCCCCCTGACCCCCATCTTCACGGACACCGTGACATTCCGGATTGCACCGTGGATCATGACCCCCAACATCCTGCCTCCCGTGTCGGTGTTTGTTTGCTGGTAAGGGGCAGCCGCGGCCCCGAGAGGCAGCAGGGCAGAGGGACCAAGGCAGAGGGACCAAGGCTGGCTTCAGGGTCAGGCAGACCTGAGTTCGGGTCCTGGCTCCGTCACTTCCCAGCTGTGTAACCTAGAGCCAGCCCCAGCTCCAGGCCGGGCACCGCTCTCTCCTTCAATCTGGGGATCCGAGATGCAGGACTTGGGGGCAGGAGAGGGGGAATTCTCTTCCTCATTCAAATTTGTCCATGACCTTGGCGAACACTGCATAAAGTAGGTGGGTTTGCATGACCCTTGACCCCAGTGGCCTTCACAAAGGTGACCGTGAACACAGATGTGGTCTCCTCTGCCCAGCTCAGACCACAGGTGCCAGGTCTAACGTCACCACAGAGGGTGGCCCTTGTCCCCGCTCACCCTTCCTCCTGGCCTCCTCTTCCCCACCTTCTCAGCATGAAGGACAACTACCTGTTCCTGAAGGAGGTGAAGAACCTGGTGGAGAAAACCAACTGTGAACTGAAGGTCTGCTTCCAGTACATGAACCGCGGCGACCGCTGGATCCAGGTGTGTAGCCCAGGCCGGGGCTGGGAGGGACGTGGCCTCAGGTCAGGCAAGAGGAGCTGGCTGAGCGTCCCGCTGTGTATGGGGACCTGGTCAGCTCTGCCTGCACACGGGCACGGACATGCATGGATAAGTCAATTTGCTAAGTGTGGCTTCTTGTGAAGCCAAGGGCTGTGTCACCACCTAGGTGTCCCTCCATGGGGCCTGGGTGACAACATGCAGTGAAGTCTAAGGGATACTAAAAAGAATGAGGCCGATCGGTAACGATGGATACAGGACAGGCTTCGGCCTAACCTGAAGGAAAATATTTCAGGACGTTGCCTTTGTTTTTTAATCGGGTAGAAGCTGGGTGCAGTGGTGCACACCTGTCATACCAGTGACTTGGGAGGCTGGGGCAGGAGGATCCCAAGTTCAAAACCAGCCTCAGCAAAAAATTAGCGAGGCCCTGAGGAACTTAGTGAGACTCTCTCTCAAAGTAAAACATAAAAAGGGCTGGGATGTGGCTCATGGGTTCAGCCCCCCTGGGGACCAGGAGGTGGGTACGAGGCAGTCACCCTGTTCGCTCTGTGCCCCTCTGTGTGCAAACCCCTCTGTTCCCAGAGCCTCCCCACTCCCTGGCCGACTGATGAGCCCTCCCCAGGGCCCCGCTAACTGCTCTCCTCGGTCCCCACAGGACGAAATTGAGTTTGGCTACATCGAGGCCCCCCACAAAGGCTTCCCCGTGGTGCTGGACTCCCCCCGCGATGGGAACCTGAAGGACTTCCCCGTGAAGCAGCTCCTGGTGAGATCCACGGCCCGCTGTGGGTTGCCACTCGGGACCCTCATAGGACAGAGCCGTCAGGAGGGCCCGGGCACCCCGACTCACGGGTCCACTGTCCGGGACCTGTTTTCTCCTCTGCAACGTGGGTCAGCTGGGGTAGTGGCCACTGGAACTGTGGGAGACAGGGCCAGACCCGATTGCAGAGGCCTGGCCCCTGCGACTGTCAAAAAGCCTGGCTTTGACCTCAGAGCTAGCAGGGCTCGAGCTGGGGCAGAGGCGGGTTTCATTTAACGCAGCCCCCTGCCAGGCTCCCACCCGCCCCGAGAACACCTACTCGTGGGGTCCCCTCCTCCTGGGAGAGGAGAGGGCGAGGGTGTGGGCCCACTGTCCAATACCAGAGGAACCTGGCCGTGCGCAGCGGTCCCTGACCAAAAATGGGACCTTGGGCAAGCCGCTGACCTCCACGAGCCCCAGTTACTCCTCTGTAAAGTGGGAGAGAACTGGGCGGTCTCACAGGGCTGCTGTGACGAGCATGTGGGGGGCATCAGTATGTCCTCGCCGTTTCTGCGGTTTTCAGCCCTGGATGCTGCCCCAGACCCCAGCCCTGCAGGGTGTGAAGGCAGATGGCCAGCCGCAGGGTGGCCACGGGTTGAGGTTTGATCTGCCCGGGCTCTCCCCTGGCCTCCACCTGCCTCCAGTGTCCCAAGGCCCCGGGCTGCACTGTCCCGGAGGCCAGCCCAGGCTGGCTCTGCTGCGTGCTAGGCCCTGCAGATGCTGGAAGCTCACCTGCGGCCTCCAGCCACCTCCGGCCAGCACCACGTTGCCAGCTGGGGCCCAGGCAAGAAAGCGCTACACTCCTGCCATCCACCCCTGCCGCAGGCTGTCCCTTGAGCCCCTCAGTGCAGCCAAGACAAGCCACAGCCTCCCACTCTGTTTTTTTTTTTTTAAGGGATTTTTGTCAAGGCAAGCTAGAGTCTCACTGCCAGTTCCCAACCAAGATCCCTACATCGTTACCAAAAATCACGACAGGAACCTTAAAATTCAAGAGATCAATGGGATTATATTTTGATTGGTGCTTAGTGCTAGGAAGCATTCTGAGGCTACTCAGGGCCCAGTGGCCAAGCGTGATTGTTGGGGATGGGTTGGGAAGGTGTGGATGTTACATTTCTGCCAATTCTGCATGTATTAGTCAGCTCTTACTAGCTAAGGTGCAGTAACAAGCAACCCCGACTCTCAGTAGCTGACAACAGAGGTTTGCTTCTTGCTCATGCTCCCTATTGACAGCTAGTTGGTCATCTGTGGCTCTGCTTCTTCATGCCTTCCTCATTCTAGAACCTCAGCCCACCTCATTCTAGAGTCTTGTGCCTGGTACATTTTCCTGGAGTGTTCTAGAGCATTCAAAGACTTCATTCTAGAGCATCCTAGAGCCTCTACCCACTCCATTCTGGAGCCCCAGCCACCCTTGCTCTATAGCATTCTGGAGCTTGGCCCGCCTCATTCTAGAGCCTCCGTCTATTTCATTCTAGAACCTAGAGCCACAGCCTTAGTCTGAGAAATGCCATTCTGCCGGCCCAGGAAGAAGAAGGTGGACACACACACACAGTGACTCCTGTGGCTTCTGCTCACAGCTGGCAGGCGTCCCTTCTGCTTATATTTCATTGGCTAAAGCAAGTCATGTGACCCTGACACTAGCCAGGATGCAAAATTCTCTTACTGGGAAGGGGATAGAGAACCCCTGGGAACAATGATCCAATCCGGCTCCTGCCTCAGGCGGCCTACTGGATACCTCTTCTAGAGAGGGGGAAACTGAGGGCCCAGGAAATTGAGGGATGCGCAGGGACCTAACAGCTCCTGAGGACCGATCCTGGGATCCCCACTGTGGTCTGCTTGGGAAGCAGCGCACCCTCACTCCCACGCACGCACGTGGGCACACTCATGCACTCGGCACCCCCTGCTCTTTGTGGAAACAAGACCCTGCCAGAGGCCCCGGGAGGCCCTGCCAGAGGCCCCAGGCCAGACCTCGCGTGGACAAGGAGCTGGCATCTGAGGCAGCCGTGGGGCTGAGGCCTGGTGGCAGGAGACTTACGGCAGGTGTCGCCTCTACCCAGGGCCCAGATTTCGGCTACGTGACCCGGGAGCCCCTCTTTGAGTCTGTCACCAGCCTGGATTCCTTTGGGAACCTGGAGGTCAGCCCCCCGGTGACTGTGAACGGCAAGGCCTACCCCCTTGGACGGATCCTCATCGGCAGCAGTTTTCCTCTGTAAGAGACACGGACACGGAGGGCAGCCGGGGAGCGGGCGGGAGCGGGAGGGCCACTGATCTGCTTGGGGTGGCCTGGGTGGCCCCTGCATGGTGTCGGTGCCTGGGAGAGTCCCCGGCCATGACCCTGTCCATAGGCAGACACCCCTGGAAGGAAAACAAGGGAGCCTCACGTCTCAGCCTAAATTAGCGCCTGCTATAATCATCCTCTTCCCCAAAGGTGAGGGTATAAGATGAGGTTATAAACCAGGCGGGAGGAGTGGGGGGCCCAGGGGAGAGGCACAGGCAGAGAGTGAACCCTCAGGGCTGACCGTACGTGAAGGAGACACGAGAAGACAGCCCTGTCCCCAGAAGCCTGAGTCACTGGCCCCTTGGCCTGTCCACGCTGCCCCCTCCCCGCCCTGTAACCCACCAGCACAGGAAAGGCAAACTCTTCTCTCCATCAGGGCAGTGGCTGGGGAGAGACAACTCGGGTTCAACTTGGGCTGAAGAGGAGGCGCTGGAAGACCCGGGTGGGGAGAGCAGAGGGCCGTGTCACAGACCCAGGAGGGCGGGAGGAGGCCAGGCAGGAGCCAGACCAGACCCCCCTAAGGACCACGGGTCATCGTCTGAGGGTGTGGGGAGACGAAGGCCTCGGGAGTCAGGAGGGGCTTCCCGGAGGAGGTGTCTTTTGAAGCCGTTAAAGATAAAGTGAAGCTAGTGTCTCACGGAGCAGTGGGCGAGGGCAGATTCGAAGCCCTCCCACTTCACGGCCTCCCGGGCAGCCCAGGCCGGACTCCTGAGCACGAGGCTGGCCTCCCCGTTCTCACCAGCACCTCAGGGGCTGAGGGTCCAGTTCTGCCCTCACCCAGGTGGCGGCTGTGGCTGCCGCTCCCCTTTCCCCCTGGGCTCCGCCTGCACCAGGGTCTCACGCTGTGGCTCAGGCTCCCGCATCGTCCCGGACACCACCCCGGCTCCAGCTGGTCCCAGAGGCGGGACACCAGGGGCAGGCGGCCTCCTGAGGGTGCCCCCTCTGCACTCCCACCCAGGTCCGGCGGGCGGCGGATGACCAAGGTGGTGCGCGACTTCCTGCAGGCCCAGCAGGTGCAGGCGCCCGTGGAGCTCTACTCGGACTGGCTGACCGTGGGCCACGTGGACGAGTTCATGACCTTCATCCCCGTCCCAGGCACCAAGGTGAGCCAGTCCCCAAGACTGGACGGGAAAGGATAGTAGAGGACCCAAGTGCTCCTGGCCCTTGCCAGCCAAGGGCAGGGTCTGAGGGAAACAGCACGGAGGAAGAGGGAAGTAGGCTGAAGCTGGTTCGTGGGTTGTGGCTGTGGCAGGTAAATTTTTAACCCAGGAAACCCAAAATATTGGCATTTCAATATGTAATTAATACAAGAATTATCTATTAGCCATTTTTCATTCTCTGTTCATGCTAAATCTTCACGATCTGGTGTTTTATTCACATAGCACCTCTCTAGTGAAGATGAGCCACAGCTCTAGTGGCTGCTGAACTGGCCACAGCCCTCTAGAGGGTGGTGCACGGTGGGCCTCGGGTCTGGGGAAAGTTCTTGTATCTTATGACGTGAAAGGAATGGCTGCCACTTCCTGCCCTGGACTGTTCTGGGCGAATGATCTGGCCTCGTGGCACCTGGAGAGGTTCCCCCACTCTGCCCGAGGCCATCTTTTTTTTAATATATATAACTTTATTTTATTTTTTATGTGGTGCTGAGCCTCGAACCCAGGGCCTCACACGTGCTAGGCGAGCGCTCTGCCCCTGAGCCCCAGCCCCAGCCCCCCAAGGCCATCTTTGACCCTGAGCTTTGACCCAGCGATACTGTCAGAGTGGACGGTGGGTGAGAAACCGTCCTCTGAGACAGACAAAGCCCACAGGGCGGCCCCTGCAGCCCAGTACGGGGGGGTGAGAGCTGAGGGGCAGGCCAGGGGCCCCTCTTGCTCCTCGGCCACCTGCTCCTGCTGACACTAAGCCAAGGGAGTGTCTCGCAGGAGTTCCGGTTGCTCATGGCCAGCACCTCGGCCTGCTACAAGCTCTTCCGGGAGAAGCAGAAGGAGGGCCACGGGGAGGCCATCATGTTCAAAGGTGAGTGTCCACGGGCCTGGGCGAACACTAGGAAACGGGAGCCCCAGAGAGACCCTCGGGGGCTGGACACATGGACACCTGTCCCTTGTGCCCAGCCCCGTGTCCCTGGGCATCTGGCCCACCCTGGCTATAGGAGGCACCGTGGTGGGAACAGCACCGGCCTCTCGTCTCCCTTGCTGTGACCGGGTGGACGCTGAGCTGTCCCACTGCCTCTCACTGTCCTCCACAGCTCAGATGCCTCTTCAGCACCCAGTGGGTGCTTTAAATGACCCAAGGCCAGAGGAGAGTCCAGGGGTTGACTCTCTTGGGAGGCTGAGGCAAGAGGATGGCAAATTCAAGGCCAGCCTCCCCAATTCCGTGAGACCCTGTCTCAAATTAAAGAATAAGGGCTGGAGGGCAGCTCAGTGGCAGAGCACTTGCCTACCATGCGCAAGGCCTTGGGTTCGATCCCCAGTACGGCAAATTAAAAAAAAAAAAAAGGAAATCAAAATAAAAAATGAAAAAGGGCTGGGGATGTAGCTCACTGGTAGAGCACCTCTGAGCTCAACCCCCGGCACAGACAAAAACGATAATGACGATGATGATGACGACGTGGGATGACGTCACCTGCACCTCCATCCATTGTTTCTTAGTTACTTTTGGCCCCTTTGAGGAAGGGGTCCCCAATATCTCTCACACCCAAGAGCCTGTCCCCAAGAGCCTGCCCACACCCAAAGACAGTGGTCCTGTCCGGCCTTTGGGGACAGACTCTTTCCTTTTGTGATTCCCGCCAGTGGGAAGTTTGTTCTTGGATTGGCACGTGTGAGTCTCGGCTTCCTGGAGACTTCTGTTCTCTATAATCACACCCCAAAAGCTACCCACGGGGTACAAACCATTACTGTCTTCGTGCCAATAAGGGTGAGCGGTGGGTGGGAACGGCTCAGGTACGGGCCCAATAGCCCCATATCTATCCTCTCTCTCTCTCTCTCTCTCTCTCTCTCTCTCTCTCTCTCTCTCTCTCTCGGTGCTGGGGATGGAATCTGGGGCCCCACACTCGCTAGGCAAGCCCCTGCCACTGAGCTGCACCCCAGCCAGCCCCCGTCTCTTTGCCCTGCCAAGCCATAAGCCTGGGAGGTGCCATGGACCAGCTCTTCCGAGGTCAGGGAAAACTAAACTAAAATAGGCGAAGGGCAGAGGCCCTGGATCAGACTGCCCAGGTGCCTCCCAGCCCAGCCACCTGCTGCACGTGAGACCGTGGATAAGTCACGTACCCTCTCCGTGCCTCAGTTTCCCCTCCTTCAGTGGGAGCGGCTGCGAGCGAGCTGTTCCTCGCAGAGCACTTGGAAGACGCCTGCCAAGCCACGGCGCTCAGTGAGCGTTAGGCAGAGCAGTCGGCCGGAGCCACGGGACCGTCCTGTGGAGGAGAGGCAGAGGCCGGCCTCTCCAGGGCAGGCACCGAGCAGGAGGCTGGGCTGGACAAGGGGGAGGGTGACTCTGCTTCCGCCACACTCAGCCTGGTGCTGCTGGTCCCTAGGAGCAGGTCTACTTGTGCCACCCACCCGTCTGGCCAGACAGAGAGCAGGGCTGCCGCTTCTCTCCTGGCTCAGGTGACAAGAGGGACCCAAGAGAAAGGAGTGTGTCCTGCTGTCCCCAGGCAGAGGGCCCAATTTCCCCTGGCCTGGCCGCTCCGGCCCCCAGCCCGGCCCTGGCCCTGTCCTCCGTTGCTGTCCAGCAGTTAGCTCAGACAGAGCCCCCTCCCGCCCCGTGCCTGAGGCCTGACCATCTGCCCTCCGTGGCCCACAGGCTTGGGCGGCATGAGCAGCAAGCGGATCACCATCAACAAGATCCTGTCCAACGAGAATCTGGTGCAGGAGAACCTGTACTTCCAGGTGAGGACGGGCAGGGCCCCGGGAGCTTCCAGGCTCCCGGCCGCCCACCTCGGGGGGCTTCCGCAGAGAATGAGCGGGGCCCAGGGCTTGGACCCAGAGTTCGTCAGCACCAGGAGGCTCAGCAGGCACTGAGCTGAAGATGGAGGGTAAGGGGCCACCAAGTCCCTTCTAGCAGAGACTGGAAGCAAACAGGAGACCAGGGAAGGAAGGTGGCCAGTAGTGCCAAAGAGCCAAGGTCTCAGCTACACGAGAGCCCGTGCCCTTTAGAACACAAAACCAAAAACTTGCTCTCCAGGAAAAAAAAAAAATGTTTTAGGAGCACATGCCAACCTCTGAGTTTCAGCTCAAAGGTCCCTGAGGTCTTCAGACTATGCATGGACCCCGCCGCCCCTTCCCCCCCGTTCTGAATTCCTAAGTTTCAAATTGCATCAAGAAATACAAATTAGTCATATTTATTTGAATTGGGTATTTATTGGGCAATTTTAAAGAACCACATTTTTAAGAATTAAAAAGCAGAAGCCAGGCATTGTCGTGCCCACCTGTAATCTCAGCAGCTTGGGAATCTGAGGCAGGAGGATTGCAAGTTCAAGGCCAGCCGCAGCAACTTAAAAAGGCCCTAAGCAACTCGGTGAGACCCTGTCTCAAAATTTAAAAAATAAAAAATAAAAAAATGGGCTAGGAATGTAGCCTTGGATGAACACCCTGGATTTTATCCCTGGTTCCAGAAAGAAAAAAAAAAAACGGGCAGGAAACTCAATTCAAAGTGATTTATACAAAAAGTTATGATTGGCTCATTTCAGTGGGAAGTAAAGAAGAAAGTGGCATGGATTTCAGGCACAAGTTGATCAGGGCTGCAGCTCCACGTCTCTGCATTTCTTGTTCTCTCAGATACCCTCGTGGTAGGAACAGGGCTGCAATAGTTCAAGGCCCCAGGCCACCCAGCACGCCATCTACAGAGAAAGAGCTCTTCCATGCCCACCGACAACTGAACAAGAGTTTGCTTTTCTCACTCTGATGTGGGCCAACCTGAACCAATTCCCATGGCCAGGGGAGGTGGGGATTCTGTGTACTGTTTTGCTCCATCCTGGATCAGTGCCCATTCCTGACCCCATCACAGGGGCAAAGGGGCAGAGGCAAGAACTAGTTAGAGTTCCCTGAAGACCAGAGTGGGGCCGATCCACCCAGCAGCAGGGAAGAGGGGTGAAGAGGACCGGGGAAGCCATGTAGCACCCAGTAAAACCTACACAAGGCCTCACTGGCCGCGGGAAAGTTGTCTGCTGCTTGTCGCAGTACGATCCCGGGCAGCTCGCGAAGGAGACTCTGCCTTTGGTTCCCTTGTGTCTACAAAAGGGACGATGGTGGCGTCTGCCTCCTGGGTTGGAGCTGAAGGAGCTGATCTGTGGGAAGTGCTGGGGACAGGGCCAGTACTTGTACCCGTTAGTGTCCACTCACCTCCTGGGGGGGCGTGAGGGGCCGCGGAGACACTGTATGAGGAGCCCTTAGACGGGGTCTGGCTCCTGGTAGATGCTCATAAGTGACAGTTGCTGGGATTCTTTCTGGAACCTTCCTTGGAGTCGCTACTGTCCCTGAGCCCTGTGGAGGGACCCTGGGAGATGTGGTGCCGGCTAAGCACAGGAAGTCTCTCTGGGGTGCTACGGCCCTGGCCTGCTGCTGCAGAGCAGGTGACAGGTGTGTGTCACCTGACCTGCATGTTCTTCTGCTGTCCCCACCCAGCGCTGCCTGGACTGGAACCGTGACATCCTCAAGAAGGAGCTGGGGCTGACGGAGCAGGACATCATTGACCTGCCTGCTCTGTTCAAGATGGATGAGGACCGCCAGGCCAGAGCCTTCTTCCCAAATATGGTGAGACCCCCAGAACCTGACCCTCACCCCACACCACGTAGGAGGCAGCCAGATCCAGGAGGAGCCCTGATTGAAGCTATCCAATCAGGAGGCCCACGTCCTGGCCCGGGGTGAGCTGCTGTGTGACCTCACCCCAGGCACTCGCCCTCTCTGAGGTCCTCCATTCCCTCCTATCGGGGATAGGCTTGTCCTAGCTTCCTCGCCGGGGTAGTGAGAGTCCTATACGTCATCTGAGAGGAAGTGCTTTGCATCAGGTACAAAGGCCTCTGTGTACAGAAGGGATCCTTGTTACCACAGAGGGGAGTCTCCATGAGGCAGAAGGCAATTAGATCAACACACACACACACACACACACACACACGCACACACACGTGAGCTCAAGTGCACACGAATGCACGTATAAACCCACGAGTGTGCATATCCACACACATATATAAGACGTATGTGTTTGTTCCGATGTGTGCACATTCACCCACGTGAACACACGTGAACCCACACGTGTGCACACCTTTGCACACACATACACACAAGGCAGGGGTTGCCCGGTTTTCCACCTCGGCCTCGCCATTCATGAGTTGCTCAGCCTCCTCTGGGTCTCAGTTTCCCCATCTATAAAGACGGGATGGTTCTAGTACCTTCTCCATAGGATTAGGGAAGGGTCCTCGGAGCTCGGGTCAGGGCAGAGCTGTAGCCAGAGCCACTAATCGACTGACCCTGCGGTAGGTGAACATGATCGTGCTGGACAAGGACCTGGGCATCCCCAAGCCGTTCGGGCCCCAGGTGGAGGAGGAGTGCTGTCTGGAGACACACGTGCGCGCCCTGCTGGAGCCCCTGGGGGTCACCTGCACCTTCATCGACGACATTTCCGCCTACCACAAGTTCCTGGGGGAGGTCCACTGTGGCACCAACGTCCACAGGAAGCCCTTCGCCTTCAAGTGGTGGCACATGGTGCCCTGACCTGGGGAGCCCCGGAGCGTCCCTGCTTCCCCGCGTCCTCCAGGCCTCTCGCACCCCAGGGGCCCTCCCCCTGCCTGACCTGATGGGGTGGCCCTGCTGGGAGACCTACGGGGAGCAGGGTGGGATTTGGGGGGACCTGTGCCTTGTCCTCCCTGGGAAGGGCCTCCGTGTCCACTGAAGCCACCCCAGGGAGCTCACCTCTGACCCTCCTGAAACCAGCCGGGCATTTGGCCACTCTCTGTAGAGCCCTGGCGCGAGAAACAAAGCAAACCAAGAACAAAAAAAATCACATCCCCAGACCAGGCCCAAGAGTTCTCTATTTGCAATTGGAATGAGGGAAAGGGGAAGGGGATTCTGGGATCACAGTGTCTCCCAGCAGCCATGCCCTGAAGTTCAAGGTGGAACACATGGAAATGCACCCTGGGCCCTGACGCACCTTGAACTGCACCGGTATTTCAAATTCGCCTTCCTGGGGTCTCCAGGTGCCACCTCCAATCCATTCCTTACCGCCTCTCAGCCCCCCTTAGCTTTCCCTCTGCAATGCAGACCCCGAGCCCTCCCGCTCCCCGAGGGCCCAGGAATTGAGCTCAGAACTTTCCCGGGAAACAGATGCATCAGAGCGGTTTCTCCATGTGCTTCTCCCCAGGGGCTTGAGGCTCTCTCCCCGAGACCAGCACCCCCTGAGGCTGAGTTCAGCATGTAAAGATGCCCATCAACCCCAGCCACCATCTCTTGCCTGGTCCTCGAGTCTATGGCCAGGCTCTGACCCGGCTCCTGCCACCACCTCAGGTCCCATCCTTCCCACTACTGGCCGCTAAATGCCAGCTTTTTTGCCTCCAGCCACGTTCAGACCTTCCCCTGGGCCTGGGAAACAACCAGCCCTCCTCCTAGTCCTCAGACCCAACATGGAAGGACCCTGGCCTCACCTCCAGCCCAAGCAGCTGCTGGCCTTCGAGGTGGACCGGCCCTCCTGTTGAAGTTCACCAGTGTGTTTGCCAAAGACTCTCTCATTCGGACACATCCAGATAAATTCCCTGAGTCCAATGAAAAGGGTTAACTTCAGCTTAAAAAAAAAAAATTCCTTTAGGACCAGAAGCACAAGTAAATTATAATTTCACTTTGAAGGTTAAAAAAAAAGAACTATTTTATAACCAATGAAGAGGTTCTAAATCTGTGTTCTTGGGGGTCCAGGATTTTCACTTTGGATCATTTCATTCGGCCACTCAGTGAGCACTTGTTGCCTGGCTGCTGAGCTCGGGCACCGTGCCAGCCTCTGAGAATAGCAAACCGGGCACGGAACCAGTCAGTCCCCAAGGCTAAGAAACTACCTTTGAATGCTCAGCCTTGAGCTGGGGATGTAGCTCAGCGGTAAAGCATTTGCTTAACATGTGCGAGACTGTGGGTTCCATCCCCACCACTGCAAAAAGTAAAAGTTTAAAAAATTAAAACTAAGCCAGGCGTCGTGGTGCACACCTGTAATCCCAGCAGCTGGGGAGGCTGAGGCAGGAGAAGCGCAAGTTCAAAGCCAGCCTCAGCCATGGCGAGGCGCTAAGCAACTCAGTGAGACCCTGTCTCTAAATAAAATACAAAATAGGGCTGGGGATGTGGCTCAGTTGGTCGAGTGCCCCTGAGTTCAATCCCCAGGACCTAAAAAAATTAAAAATAAATCTAAAAAGTAATAAACAGCCAGCCTTTACCCTTCGATGTTGTACTTTTTAGAAATGCCACTTTATTGCGGCTGGGGAAAAAGCTCAGTGGGTAGAGTGTTTGCTTCGCATGCACAAGGCCCTTGGGTTCAATCCCCAGCACCACCGCTAAAAAAAAAGAAAAAGAAATGCCTCTTTATTCAGGAAATACTCAGGGCACAAATCTTCCAAAAGTCACTGACCCCATGAAATTGGGATGGGGGTGTCTTCTTTAAGCAAGCCCCTTTCCCATCCAGCGGGGCCAGTACCACCTCTCAGATCAGAGACTCAGAAACGGTTGTCCCCCCTCTGGGGACAGTGGCTCCGGTTGGATCTTCTCTCCAGCCCCAGTCGTGAAAACCCAAGTGCCTCTCTGAGGGTGTGCGTCTGGAGACTGTCCTGTGTGTGCGTTGGGTTCCTGTGGGTTTGTGGGCTTTCTTTTATTATCTCGTCTACATGAAGGGGAAGTGAGCACCCCACGTGCAGACGGTGTGTCTTGTAGCTTTTCCCAAAGGTCTCCCCATCCTAAGCCAGCGATCTCTGAAGTTTCTGGAAGCCCCGGGGCTCAGACACTGTCCTGGCCACCTCACTGGCCCACCCGGTGTGCCTCCCCTCGGTGTGGATGTACCCCGTGGACTTGGCGCCCTTCCCCGACCCCCCCTTTCTAGAAATGTCCACCCAGAACTTCTGTGTTGCAAAACCCAGCCAAGTTCCTGTTTTGATCTTGATTTTGAAATATTCAGTGTGAGATGGCAGGGGGTGTCGTGAAGATGGCCGGAGCTGGGCACAAGTTCAGCTTTCTGGAAGAGAGGTCGTGGTGGAGATGGAAAGGTGTTTGCCGAAGAGCCTGACTGAAGAGCAATAAATAAACAGTCCGAGGGGAAATCGCGCGGCTGTGGGCGTGAGGTTCTTTGCGGCTTCCTAGATGTGGAAGACAGAGGGACACAGACCACATGGGGCCCTCCGTCTGGCCCTGAAGCCCCTGCTAGTCCGCACACGGGCTCCAGGCTCTCGGCAAGGCTGTCTCAAGCGCCTGAAATCCCACATATATTGGGTTTGCGTGTGACAGGGCCACCTCCCAGGGTCAGGATCAATATCCCTAGTAAAGTCAGGGATGCAGACCCTGAGACGAGCATTTGGGAACACGTGGCTTATTTAAGAGTGTCCCCAGGGGAAGCCGGTAAGGGAATCGGGAGAGTAGGACGGGGAAGGAGAAGCCGAACAAGGTGTGACTTCAGGTGCAGCCTCAGCCCCAGCCCTGAAGGGCACCTGAGAGATGTTCCACCTGGGAGGCCGAGTCTCCCCACATCTACCCACATCTACTCTGGGGCCTCTGGTTCTCTGAATGGGCGGGGCCGCC